AATTTCTACATGGTGTTCTCAAATTCTCTCATAGGCTTCTAACGACATGTTTGCCAATGTTCTTACCAAAGTAGCTCACTCCCATTCTGTTGTCCATCTTGATGGGCGTATTGAACATACTGGAGATGTTTACTCTATACCTTTTAACATTATAGACATATACATATTGCCCAGTCTATTCTTCTAGATCATCCTCTATATATTAATTGAGGAGACACTAAGATAAAAAATCATTTGTGTCATTCAATGAGAGTTTTAAGGAACATGTAATTTAACAATGAAAATATTTCAATTAAAACTATATGCCATGATAAAAATTTCTACAAATTCTTATTAATTTTATTTATAACATAAGCCCATTAATATATGTTTTACAAATCTAAGTCCAACTAAATGTAATATATAGACTTACCATATCATCTATTTTTTTTTAAAAAAATTATATTAAAAAACTTTTTATTTTTTTGTAACAATATTATTTCTTGTGGATATATGTATTTAGATTAATATGATATATACAAATATTTTAATTATGATAGTCTATTGTATATATATAACTATACTTACAAATATTTACACATTTTACTATTGTTAAACATATATTTTTTTCGTTTGTTATGTCCGACAAATTCATATAACTCTAAAATTTATCTGATTTGTCGCATGCTCTATAAGTTACACGAATAATAAAAATTAATTTTACACTTGAAAATTTATTGAAATAAATAGCATTTTCATATATTTTGATCAATTTTACAGATAAAATTAAATATTAAAACCAATGGCATCAAAATATGCTTCATAAAAAATTAACTTTACTACATTTATCCACAATGCATACCTTTTTTGTAAGTTTATAAATATTATAAATCATATGCTTTGTCATACACATTTAAATATTAAAACTGATTAAAAACATCTTTAATCATTTAATCTCACGCTTAGTCTGGGTCAAAATCTAGTTATTGTAATATATATAAGTTTGTATCTGTGTAAATTTCTTTTCTATTTTACTGACACTAATGTTACTAAAAGTATTTATATTGAACGAAATAATATATTATTTCATGCCAAGAAAAAAAAAAGCATTATGTGACTTTAACTCTAGGACTCAGTAGCTAACAACTCAAATAAAATGTACATGGATCCACGACCGGAAGACGAATCGGTTCTCCCTTGATGGCAGAAGCATCGGCGATGCGTGAAGCTTTAACCTAAGTATCTCTGAGAAACCTTCGCGGCTTCACCATAATTTCAGACTCGAAGCAATTGATTAATCTCATTAACACTAATACGTCTCAACTGGATATCTACGGAATTCTACAAGACCTAATCAATCTATTTCTAGATTTAGATGTGCGATTTGTTCATGTTCTTAGATCGGAAAATGAGGATGCGGATAGACTCGCGAAATCAATTTTTCTGAATGTATCGATCGAATTCGGTTTAGCACCGGTTTAATTAATGAAACAATCTTTTAGATCAAAAACAAAAAAATTCAGTAAAGTCCAATTTCAAATGACGAAATATCATTTTAACTTTTTAATCTTATTTTATGGCTACATATTCTCTATCTTATCTTTAAGCTCCGAAATATTGATCTTTACTCCATCCTCGACCTGAAAATCATGAAACCATGATATACTGATATTAGTTATATTATATATAAGATGTAATAAGAGTTAAAACTTATGATCATAGCTAGTGATTTTTACAAATATTTGATGCGTAGTTTGAATAAAAAAAAAAATTTTTAAGACATAATAGGAACTCTGATATTTTTGTTGAAGAATAAGGAAAAAGTATAGCAATTGTTTTTGGGAAATCAAGCCAATGCCAAAAAAACTAATATTGTTTTGGTTGTATTGTAATTTCAATTTTAATGATTTAATAATAATTTCAAATAAATATATTCATTATATTTTTTATAACCACAAAAGTGGTTTAAAACAAAAGATTAAGATTTTTATAGCAAATAAAATGATATTAGAACTAAAAAAACTATGTTAGAAACTATGATAAACACTATTAACATTGTTTCAGAGTTTTTTCTCTTAATATGAAGTAATAATTTTACCTGCGAGACAATGGTGTGTATGAATCTTTGGTTCAGCCTTTTTGAGAGGCAACTAACTACACTAAGTCGTTGTTCTTGAACTAACATTTGAAGAACACTCGAGAGACAAGACTTGTTTCGTCCGAGACAACAACTTATGATGATCTCAACACCAACCAAACAAGGCATGACCACAACTGTAATGTGTTTGTCTCCTACACGTGAGCAGCT